ACTAGTATTGGTGATAAATGATGTGCTGGTAGGGGTGATAACTGAAATACTAGTAGTGATGATATATGATGTAGTGCGGATAAATGATGTGCTGGTAGTGATGATAAATGATGTGCTGGTAGCAGTGATAACTGATATGCTTGTAGCTTTGATAAAGTCGTAATGATCACTGAAGTGCCACTAGTTTGATATGGGAAGTGTTGGTAATTGTGATAACTGAAATGATTTTAGTGGTGACATTTAAAGTGTCAAAATACATTTTTCATGTGTTGTTCCACAAGGTTCCTTACTGGACCACTGTTGTTCCTACTACTAGATACTGGGACGTGTGTTGTTCAAAAAGGTTCCTTACTGGTCCACTATTGTTTTTGCTACTAGACAGTGGGATGTGTTGTTCCACAAAGTTCCTTACTGGACAACTATTGTTACTGCTACGAGACTGTGGGATGTGTGGTTCTCCACAAGGTTCTGTACTGAATTGCAACTGTTCCTGAGATACATAAACAATATACGTACCTGAGAAAATGAAAGAACCCTCCCTAGCCCTCTTTATGAATTATGTAAAGCTAATGAAAAAATAAAACCCTGGAGAGGACAAGAAAAAAGCTTCAGCTTCACCTACACAAAGTACAAAGCTTGTCATACAAGTGGCTATTGGAGTACAACCACCCAGAAAATGCAAGGTTATGGTAAGCAAAACTATAATGTTATACTGGTTCAGAGCATCCCAGGAGTAAACATCGTACTGAATATTTCTCCAGAAGTTAACATCAGCTGAGTAGCTTTTAAGATAAATGTGCGAATTTCTAACTAAAGAATTTTTAGCTTTCAAGTATCTCAGTATTAAATAATTTGCAACAATGTATGCAACATCTATGTGGCCTGCCATCGAGTACACAGCCTGAGCATGAAACTCACATCTGTTCATAAACGTTAATAATTCAGGGCACAGGTCAGTGAATATTTTTTTGGGTATTACAGTACCCAGAACAAATTTGTGTACAGTAAAATTCCCCACTAAAATTGAAAGTCCACAGAATCTGGAAAACACAAGGAGAATTCAAATTCAAAATAGTTTACCGAATTCATATGTGTGGAGAATAAAGTCATAAAAGCTGAAAAGTATGTATTGTATGAAATAAAGACACTTTAAAAATAAAACACAAAATTAACAAAATATTTAAATAAAAAATAAATAATTTTTTGTGAAATTTCTGCTTATTGAGCCTTTATTACCCCAGAGATTTTCACTTTTACTCCATTTAGGGTCATTTATCTTGGTTCCCTGACCTCTTAACAGAAAGTTCAGCAAGATTTATTCCAGAATAATGGAAAATGATCTACAGTGGTACCTTGAATTTCGAACAGCTCTCAACGCAAACAATTATGTAAGTTTATTTTTTAAGTGCTTTTCTAAGTGTATTTTTGGGGGTCTGAAACAGACTACTCTAATTTACATTATTCCTTATAGGAACAAATTCATTCGTAATGGCACTCGAACAGCCTTCCTGGACAAATTAAGGCCAAAATTCGAGGTACCACTTTATGTATAGTAAAAGATATGTACCCGATGATATTAGTGAATAAAAGACCAGGGGGAGATATGATTATGACGTAGATGCTCCAAAGTTTTCAGAGGAAGGATAAAAGAAGCAATGAGAAAGACTGGTGGAGAGGAGCAAAACAGGTTTAAGAGGGAACAAGATAAAAAAAAAATATAGTTCATGAAGATTAACCCTTATACTGTCCAAACGTAGATCTACATTTTTTCAACATTTGAAAGTATGTAAAAAAACGTAGAGCTGCTTCGCTTTTTTTTTACCTTTGAAAATGTGTAAAAAAAAACTTTGATCTACATTTTTTTTTTTTTATATTTGAAAATATGTAAAAAAATGTAGATCTACTTTTGGAGCATTACGTATGTGAACGTAGATCTGTTTGGACAGTTTAAGGGTTAAAAATAAAAATACAAAAAGTAATTAATGAATGAAAATTAAAAAAACAAAAGTTAAAAGCAAAAATTCATAAAAGAACAAAAGTCAAAAAGCAAAATATCGTTCACGAACAAAAATTAAAAAGCAAAAAAATTGTTCGTGAACAAAAATTAAAAAAATAAAAATCATGAACATAAAAAAAATTGTTCACGAGCAAGAAAAAAAATTCATAATTAATAAAAAAAATTAACAGGTAAAAGAATTATAAAAAATTATTGATGACAATGAATTAAAAATCACTGATAAACAAGAAACAACAACACACAATAATTAAAAAAAAATACATATAAAAATAGAAATGAAAATAAAAAATAATACCTGAAGTATACCTGTATGATACCTGGAGTATACACATAGGATACCTGGAGTATACCTGAAGCATACCCAGAGGATACCTAGAGTATACCTACATAATACCTGGAGTATACCTGGAGCATATCCGAAGTATACATGGCGGATAACCTGATGTATACCTGGAGGATACTTAACGAATATTTGGAGGATTCTTGGAGTATACCAGAGGTATACTGGAGTATACCCAGATAATACCTGGAGTATACCTAGAGCATACCTGTAATATAACTGGAGGATATTTGAAGTGTACATGAAGCATACCTGGGGTATACATGGAGAATACCTAGAGTATACCTGGAGGGTGTTCTGCCCCCTCCCCCGAGACCCAGTCAGTGACCAGGCCTGGTGGTGGATCAGGGCCTGGTCAACCAGACTGTTACTGCCGGCATCACCTAAAGCAACGTATCAACCACGATCCACTTTTCAATCAAATAAAAAAAATAGTATATAAAAATAAAAACAAGAGAAATACAAAAACACAATTAAAAAAAATAAAAATACATGAAAATTTAAAAAATTATGATTTTCAAAAAGAAGCTTAAAATTAAGAAATAAAAAGACCCGCATAATAAGACTCAAAAAAATATATAATTCTAAATTTCGTTTTTCATTTATCATCACTACTGACACTATCATAATTATCATCACTACTGACACTATCATAATTATCAACACTACTGACACTATCATGATTATCATCATGATAGTTGAGGGCACTCCCTCAACTACCTAAAGTCATACCTCAGCAACAGAAGCCAATATGTGTACACAAATGGGGCAAACTTCCACGCAGCCAATTACAGTTGGGGTCCCACAGGGAAGTGTCCTAGGCCCTCTTCTCTTTCTCATATACATAAATGACCTACCAAATGCATCGCAACTACTCAAACCCACACTATTTGCAGATGACACTACATACGTCTACTCCCACCCGAGCCCAGTCATGCTAGCCAATACTGTAAATACCGAATTACAGAAAATATCAACCTGGATGAGGACCAACCAACTTACTCTAAACACTGACAAAACCTACCACATTCAGTTTGGTAACAGAGCTGCAGATGTCTCTCTGAACATAATGATAAATGGATCACCTATCACAAAACTCAGAGGGAAAATTCCTAGGAATCCACCTTGATAATAGACTCAAATTTCAAACACATATACAACAAATTTCCAAAAAAATTTCCAAGACCGTAGGCATACTATTGAAGATATGGTACTATGTTCCACAGTCAGCCCTCCTGGCCCTATATCACTCACTTATTTACCCCTATCTCACCTATGGAATTTGTGCATGGGGCTCAACAACAATAAACCATCTCAGACCACTGATCACCCAACAAAAGGCTGCAGTCAAAATAATAACAAATTCCCACTACAGACAGCACACTCCACCAATATTCAAAACTCTAAACCTACTCACAATACAAAACATCCATACTTATTACTGCACCTACTACATACATAGAACACTTAACTCTGACATAAACCCTCCCCTCAAACATCTCCTTACCAACCTCAACAGAACACATGACCATAACACAAGACACAGATCACTCTTTGATGTTCCTCGTGTCCATCGCACGCTATGCAAAAACTCAATGCACATAAAAGGCCCTAAAATCTGGAATTCATTACCTGTGAATATAACAGAAACACTGTCTGTTTATAAATTCAAGTCCCTTCTCAAAAATCACTTACTCACCCACAACTAAATAAATACTGAATAATTGTATCTCACAGATTGTATCTCATATATGTATCTCATTATTGTATCTCATAAATTTCAACCTGTGACCCAATCAAACTTTGTTACTATTTAACTTCATTACCTAACAGAATACTCCATTCTACTGATTACACAGCAACACAGTAAATGACCATATGACCTGTCTTTGTAATACTCATTTGTACTAAATTGTTATCTGTTTTACAATAATTTTTGTACCACTGAATATATCATTGCTTAGTTAATCTTAAGTTAATTTTAAGCCTGCCCGTAATGCTATGCATTCAAGTGGCTTTGGCATGCTGCATTTAACTGTATTCTTTTGTACTTCACTGTATCATGTTCAAATTAATAAATAAATATATAAATAAATAAATAAATAAATCACTACTGACACTATCACAATTATCATCACTACTGACACTATCATGATTATCATCACTACTGACACTATCACGATTATCATCACTACTGACACTATCATTATCATCACTAGCGACACTATCATGATTATCATCACAACTGACACTATCATGATTATCATCACTACTGACACAATCATAATTATCACCACTACTGACACAATCATAATTATCACCACTACTGACACCATCGTAATTATCACCACTACTGACACCATCATAATTATCACCACTACTGACACAATCATAATTATCACCACTACTGACACAATCATAATTATCACCACTACTGACACTATCATGACCACAATGGAAATAAGTCACTCTGACTTTTTTTGGGTTATCCTAGGTTCTCTACACATATGCTGCTATGCATGATAATCTATGTAACTGTATTTGTGAATAACTGAATAAACTTACTTATGATTACCACCATTACTGACACTACCTTATCACCAATACTGCTACTATCATAATTATCACCACTACTGACACTACCTTATCACCACTACTGCCACTATCATCACCACCACCACTACTGACATGACCAAAATTATCACCACTACTCACTACCATAATTATCACCACTACTATTACCAAAATTATCACCACTACCAGTACTACAGTTATCACCATTACCAGGACTACAGTTATCACCATTACCAGGGCTACAGTTATCACGACTACCAGGACTACAGTTATCACCACTACCAGTACTACAGTTATCACCATTACCAGCACATCACCACTACCAGAACATCATTTATCATCACTACCAGCACATCATTTATCACTACCAGAACATCATTTATCACCACTACCAGTACATCATTTATCATCACTACAGGTACTTCAGTTATCACCTCTTGTATGTAATCAGTATTGATGTCTTTTCCAAGCCACCCAAGAGGTAGACATCGAGGCTCGCTTTTTTTATAGTGGTATCCCCAGTAGGCCTAGTCCACTGTTCTCTCAGCTGATGCTTACCTTCTCAACACCTATAAGCTTCAAAGAAGGCTTTTGCTTCTTCCTCAAGCTGAAACAAGATCTTATCATTTTCTTTCTTCCTTTCCTGAAGTTCACGCTCTTCAAAATTCTTCAGGAACTCGGCAACTTCTGCTCTTTTCTTCTTCTCGTAGGCCCAAGCTTTCTTCTGCTGATTCTTGCGTTGGGAGTCAGTCTTACGAAGAGCAAAATTCACCAATGAGTACTGAGCATCATAGGCATCAAAAATCTCCTCATACTCTGCCATCTTTCGTTCTTCCTTCTCTTTCTCAGCTTTACGCTGGGCCCAAACACAAGCCTTTTCCCGGGAGCGGTAGGCTGCCAAGTCTCGAGCCTTGGCCACCATCAAGGCACTAGGTTTCACAACACCTCGGGAATACATTCTTCAGATGTCTGTCTTGAGACTTATTACTAAAGGTTTGTAAGAAGTAGAAGGCAAGTTCTTCTGGATATCCAAAATGTAGACTGATTTACCAAGATTTAGTTAAATTATTAAATATAGTTAGGCTAGAATAGTAGAACAGTGGTATATGTTGTGTGTGATATCCCCAGGAATATTTAATATATTTGTAGATGAATGGATATAAATATCTATAAACTATATATATTTAAGTTACATATAAATTATATAGTTATGCTACAAAGCTATATATATATATATATATATATATATATATATATATATATATATATATATATATTATATATTATATATATATATATATATATATATATATATAAAACTATGTAATGTAACTATATAATTTATATATAACTTAAATATATATAGATATTTATATCCATTCATCTACATATTAAATATTCCTGGGGATATCACACAACATATACCACTGTTCTACTATTCTAGCCTAACTATATTTAATAATTTAACTAAATCTTGGTAAATCAGTCCACATTTTGGATATCCAGAAGAACTTGCCTTCTACTTCTTACAAACCTTTAGTAATATAAGTCTCAAGACAGACATCTGAAGAATGTATTCTCGAGGAGTTGTGAAACCTAGTGCCTTGATGGTGGCCAAGGCTCGAGACTTGGCAGCCTACTGCTCCCGGGAAAAGGCTCGTGCTTGGGCCCAGCGTAAAGCTGAGAAAGAGAAGGAAGAACGAAAGATGGCAGAGTATGAGGAGATTTTTGATGCCTACGATGCTCAGTACTCATTGGTGAATTTTGCTCTTCGTAAGACTGACTCCCAACGCAAGAATCAGCAGAAGAAAGCTTGGGCCTACGAGAAGAAGAAAAGAGCAGAAGTTGCTGAGTTCCTGAAGAATTTTGAAGAGTGTGAACTTCAGAAAAAGAAGAAAGAAAATGATAAGGTTTTGTTTCAGCTTGAGGAAGAAGCAAAGGCCTTCCTTCAAGCTTACAGGTGTTGAGTAGGTGAACATCAGTTGAGAGAAGAGTGGACTAGGCCTACTGGGGACACCACTATAAAAAAAACGAGCCTCGATGTCTACCTCTTGGGTGGCTTGGAAAAGACATTATCAATACTGATTACATACAAGAAGAGGTGATAACTGAAGTACTAGTAATGATGATAAATGATGTGCTGGTAGTAGTGATAAATGATGTGCTGGTAGTAATTATAAATGATGTGCTGGTAGTAGTGATAAATGATGTGCTGGTAGTAGTGATAAATGATGTGCTTGTAGTAGTGATAAATGATGTGCTGGTAGTAGTGATAAATGATGTGCTGGTAGTAGTGATAAATGATGTGCTGATAGTTGTGATAACTGAAGTAATAGTAGTGATAAATGTGCTGATAGTTGTGTTAAGTGAAGTACTAGTAGTGGTGAATTATGTGCTGGTAGTTGCGATAAGTGAAGTGTTGGTAGTTGTGATAAGTGAAGTGCTGGTAGTTGTGATAAGCGAAGTGATTTTAATGGTGACAATTAAAGCATTGAAAAACATTTTTCATGTGGTTTTCCGCTAGGTTCCTTACTGGACCACTATTGTTCCTGTTACTAGACAGTGGGACATGTGGTGTTCCACAAAGTTTTGTACTGGACCCCTATTGTTCCTGCTAATAGACAATGGGACACGTGGTGCTCTGCAAATGTTCCTTATTGGATCACTATTGTTCCACAACAGTGGTTCAATAAGGTTCTGTACTGAACCACTACTGTGTTGTTCCACAAGGCTCCTTACTGGACCACTCTTGCTCCTGCTACTAGACAGTGAGACATGTGGTACTCTGCAAGGTTCCTTACTGGACCACTATTGTTCCTGCTATTAGACAGTGGGATGTGTGGTTTTCCACAAGGTTCTGTACTGAAATGCTACTGTACTTGAGATTCATAAACAATATACCTGACAAAATGAAAGAACTCTCCCTAGCCATTAGTGAATTATGTACAGCTAATGAAAAAATAAAACCCTGGAGAAGACAAGAAAAAAGCTTCAGTTTGACCTACACAAAATACAAAGCTTGTCATACAAGTGGCTATTGGAGTTCAACCCTCCAGGAAGTGCAAGGTTATGGTAAGCATCCCTATAAATGTTATACTGACTCAGAGCATCCCAGGAGTAAACACAGTACTGAACATTTCTCCAGAAGTTATCAGCCAAGTAGCTTTTAAGGTAAATGTGTGAATTTCTAACCAAAGAATTTTTAACTTTAACGAATCTCAGTATTGAATCATTCACGACAATATATTCAACATCTATGAGGCCTCTCATCGAGTATGCAGCCTCTGCACTAAACCCACATCTGTTCGTAGACGTTAATAATTTAGAGCAGAGGTCGGTGAATATTTTTTTGGGTATTATCCCAAAACAAATCTGAATACAGCGAAATTCCCCACTAGGCTTGAAAGTCAACAAAATCCAGAAAACACAAGGAGAATTCAAATTCAAAATAGTTCAGTGAATCCATTTGTATTTAGAATACAGTTATAAAAGCTGAAAAGTGTACTATATGGAATAAAGCAACTTCAAAAATGAAATGCAAAATTAAAATATTAAAATGTAAAATTTTTTTTTTTGTGCAATTTGTGCTTATTGAGCCTTTATTACCCCAAAGATTTTCACTTTTACCCCATTTGGGGTAATTTACCCCAGTTACCTGACCTCTTAACAGAAAGTTCAGCAAGATTTATTCCAGAATAAAAAAAAATGAACTATATAGATATACAGTGGTACCTAATGTTTTGAACTGCTCCCAACTCAAACAATTATGTAAGTGTGTTCGCATAAGTGAATATTTTGGGGTCTGAAACGGACTAATTCAATTTACGTTATTCCTTATGGGAACAAATTCGTTTGGCATTGGCACTCGAACAGCATTCTGGAATGAAATAAGTTCAAAACTCGGGGTACCATTGTAGTAAAAGATATGTACCTGATGATATTAGAGGATAAAAGGACTAGGGGAGATATGATTATGACATAGATGTTCCAAAAGTTTTCATAGGGAGTATTTATTTATTTTATTTATTTATTAATTTGAACATGATACAGTGAAGTACAAAGGAATACAGTTATTACAGTGCAACATGCCAAAGCCCCTTGTATGCAGAGCATTATGGGCAGGCTTAAAATTAGCTTAATCTTAACTAAGCAATGATATATTCAGTTGTAAAAACATTTTTGTAAACAGATAACAATTTAGCACAAATGAGATTTACAAAGACAGGTCATATGGTCATTTACTGTGTTGCTGTGCATTCAGTAGAATGGAGTATTCTGTTAGGTAATGTAATTAAAAAATAAAGTTTGATTGGGTCACAGGTTAGACATTTATGAGATACAATAATGAGAAACATTTACGAGATACAATTTATGAGATACAATTATTCAGTATTTATTTAGTTGTGGGTGAGTAAGTGATTTTTGAGGATAAAAGAAGCAATGAGAAAGACTGGTAGAGAGGAGTGAAACAGGTATAAGAGGGAACAAGAAAAAAAAAATAGTTCATGAATCGTATATAAATAAAAGTTAAAAAGCAAAAAACCGTTCATGAACAAAAATTGAAAAGTAAAAAAAACTGTTCAAAACAAAAATTAAAAAAAAAATCATTCATGAATGTAAACTAAAAGCAACTGTTCATTAACAAAAAAAATATTCATGAATACGAATAAAAAACAGTAATTAATAAGTAAAAGAATATAAAAATTTATTCTCGAGAATGAATAAAAAATCGCTGATATGTTAACAAGACACAACAGTACTTAAAAAAAATAAAAAAATAGTGGAACCTTGACCTACGAGTTTAATCCATTCCAGGAGCTAGATCAAAACTCAGTTTACTCGTATATCAAATTAATTTTCCTAATTTAAATTAATTAAAAAGCCATTAATTCGTTCCTGCACTCAGGAGAGACGAGCCCCTCAAGGAAGGTGGCCTGGTGGCTAAAGCTCCCGCTTCACACACGGAGGGCCCGGGTTCGATTCCCGGTGGGTGGAAACATTTCGACACGTTTCCTTACACCTGTTGACCTGTTCACCTAGCAGTAAATAGGTACCTGGGAGTTAGTCGACTGGTGTGGGTCGCATCCTGGGGGACAATATTAAGGACCCCAATGGAAATAAGTTAGACAGCCCTCGATGACACACTGATTTTCTTGGGTTATCCTGGGTGGCTAACCCTCCAGGGTTAAAAATCCGAATGAAATCTTATCTTAAGGTTCCTTGACGCTGGTGAGGGGCTCTTGATCTAGGGAATTGTATCAGTGCTCCAGTTCCCTGAATTAAGCCTGAATGCCTTCCATCCCCCCATAGGCGCTGTATAATCCTACGGGTTTAGCGCTTCCCCCTTAATAATATAATAATGGAGACGAGAAAAAATACTTGAACATGACCCTATTATCAACTGTACAACTTATTTATCTATCACAGTTCATCTAATATGGCATAATATAATTAGCACAGAAACATAGCATATACTCTAGCATGAATAAAATAGGCAGCAGCAGAAGCATCCGCCATTTCTGTTACAATTTAACTATAGTATCTTCCCATGTTCTTACTGTAAGGGAAAAACGGAGTATTTTTGAGGCTAAACTGCAGTAGATCACTAGGACCCATGGTTAGAAAAAAGAAATGTGGCTAAATGACTAGAAAAAATACCAACAAGCAGGAGAGATCTGCCCCCACAGGGATGTAAATATGTTCACTGCTTACCAGCTGTGCCATCAGCTGTTAAGCAGTAAACATGTTTACTATTATGCATTATTATTATTAATTTAGGCATCTGAAGCTCTATCGTTATTATAATAATAATTATTATATTATTACTAGTAGTAGTATTACGTATTATTAATATTGCTCTTATTATTAATTTTTTTTTAATAATAATACAGTAGACCAGTATTGAGGAATTGCTGCACAGTTTTATGTAACACGTCATATAAAACATTTAACGTGCACAAATATCCCGCACATAAAAGAGAGAAGCTTACGACGACGTTTCGGTTCGACTGGGTGTCTTTGCTGTGGACGTTTCGCCATCCAGTGGCTGGCTGGATGGCGAAACGTCTACGATAGGGATGCCCGGGTGTTGCGCATGTTTCATCTTGTCGGTATTATATACCA